TTACCATAGTATTAGGTGAAATGTGTGTGCCCAGAAGTGTACTAATTATACCTGAATGTCTTCAAGCTTGTTTATCTCCTTTAATAAGGAGAGAAGGCTTATGATACTATGCTTTTGCTGGCATGCTAATGTTTGGCAAACCCATTCAACCACTTTTCAGAACAGAGTTTGAAAGGGTACTCAGTTACCATAAATTCAGTGAAAACAGGCAGCTGGGTAGACAAGAGGAAAAAACCAGGAATGCAGCAAGGAGAAGAGTGAGAACTACTGCAGTTCTCTGGATTTAACATATTGTACCAGTGTTAAGAAGTGAATTTAGCTTGGGAGAATGAATAATTTTGGTTAGAAGACACTTCAATATTTTTGTATTATTATTTTAAAAAGCCAGTTAAAGTGCAAGCTATGACTGTGGCTGGTAGTAAAATGGTTTTTACTTCCTGTAAATTTTTTGCTCGAAATAACTGCAAAAGGACATTATGTTCTCATGTGAATACAGTACAATAAAACCTATGCATAATGCAACAAAATCTGACATTATAAAATTAGCATCATTTTCATTTGTTTTTTAAAAAGCTTGAAGACAGTTTATACAGATATTTGTCATTTTTTGATATTATCTCACTCTAAAAGCAAATTTCATAGCACTTACAGTAACTGTTTTTACAGTGTTGAACACTTTTTCTTGATCCCTGTCAACAGTAGCTTCCATCCTCCTTCTGTAACATCCGGTACAATGTTTTGTGTGGGCTTGTTTGGTGTTTTTTAAAGAAAATATTTCTAGACATTTTTGTCCATGGCACTGATGCCTTCTAATAACATTTTCCAATTAATTAAAACTTAAATTAATGCATATATGTAATCCATACATTTTGGGGAAAAAAAAAAAATCATCTTTGTTATCTGAAAATTTTGTTTCATATTAAATCCCTCTTCTTGCTCTTCATAAATATCATCTGTCTTTCACCTTCAGCCCATGACCTGTAGGTGCCTTATATATTTTTATTTGCCTCACTTCTTTTCATACCAATACAATCTTACTAAACCTGTCCTGAATCTACTGTATTGAATACTTGTGAAATTCTTCTGTGATTAATGATGTGACTCATTTTGTTAGTAAAACCTTATTCCTGTATAAAGCATTTTGAATTGACTACAAAGTTAGAGTAGAGATTAATCTGTTAAAAAGCTCAGTACCAAAACAAGAAGTGTTTTTCATTGTCCAGCTGTCTGTCTTTCCCCACATTAATTGTAAAAAGATTTGGGGAACACCAGTAGATGGTGCTGAAATGCTGCAGAGTGTAAACTACTTCAAGCATGTGGGCTTTTTGTGCAAAAGTGAAAAATAATGGAAGTGGGAATTTTCAGTGTCTTAGTTTAAGCACCAAGTTAACTCATGTTGTTTGGTTATTTTTTAGTTCAGCATCCACTGACACAGGAAGAGATGAATGAAAAAGAAGAAGCAATAACTGATGAAAACATTGTTGATTTGCAACAGTTTGTACCAGTGGGTGGTGTGTACCATATCGATGCACTGCAGCTTCCACCTCAGGTCAAACAAATCAAGGACTGGAGTATGGTGGAGGTAAGTGTGGAAAGAGATCACACCGTGTGCAGTCTTCTTCCCTGTGATCCTTGAAGAGCTGTTCCTGAGGTGTGTCACCACTGTGTGTATGCAGTGTGCCTGATTTCTTGAGCAGCAAACTAAAGGACCAAGTTTTCAAATAATTTTTCAATTACACTTGGCTCATTTTCAGAGCAGCTGGAGGGTACAGATCAGCCTGCACTTAAAGAGGTGTGTGCTCAGTCAGTGCTCATTAGCATGGCTAGCACAGATCATTGTGCTGGAAAATGCTCTTGGCCAAAGTAAAAGCAAAGAGAGTTCTTAGTTTTTCATATGTGAAAGGTACACTTAAGGAAGGATGGTAACAAAATTGCTGCCGATTCAGTTCCAGGCTCTGCAAGATATTTGAAGACTATAGCCAAAGTGTTCTATTTTTTCCAGTTGTGGAGCCTGATGTATCGCTAACCTACATCACAGTTTTTACTGTGAAGCTGAAAACCTTTAGTAAGTGAAATTCCCATACAAACTAAGAAAGCAGGATTGGGGGCAGATTCAGAGGCATGGGATCTTCATTCCCAGGCGAGCACACAGACCTGGATTACCAGTCATGTGTGACATCTTTCATTCCCTTTGATACTGTGTGGGCAAAGTGGAATTATATCTACTTTTGCCTCTCAGCTGCTCTTGGGGTTTTTTTTGGACTGTGGATCTGTTAAAAAATGACTGTGCCTACTGCGTGGCACTGCCTTAAGGGTGCCATTGGCAGCACATGAAGGGTTCAAAGGCCTGTTGGTAGTCACCCTTCTATACTGTCTTCAACAGTGTAGTTGGAAATGTGCAATATTAGCAGACCATTAATACTAATAAATTTTGAGTGAGTGAGTGGTGTGTTAGAAAACTCTGCAAGCGGTTAGGTGGACTTGAAGATAAAACAAGTAGACTACTGCCTTTACTAATAAAAATGTTATCTGTCCTTTTTCCATCTTGCCAAAGGTACTCGATGTTGGATTGCAGGCATACCCCTATCCCCCAGAAGAGGCTGAAGATGCCACATATTCACCAATACAGATAACCCTTAGGCTTTCTGACAATGTGATGTATTTTGAGGATCCTGTGATAGCCCGATGGGATCCTGCAGGTACAAACTTAAAATAAATTTATGTCTTAAGTTTGAATAATGGAATTAATATCTGAGTTTGACTGTTTCCAGAATCCAGCTGTAAAGATAACAGCCAATTCACAGCCCAGAAATAATTTGGGGGCTTCATTCATTTGGGGTTGGGTTGTTTTGGTTCTGTTTTGCTTCTGCATCATATCTAATAATGGACTGCTTGTTGAGGCTTTTTACTGTAGCTTTTTAATATGAATGGAAAAAATACACACCATTTAGTGGGCAGTAGTACAACTGTATACCACAAATCAAGTTTTGCTAGGGTGAAGCCATAGAAAGCCCACTTTGAGCCAAATTAGCTCCTAACTACATGTATTAGTTAGTATTAAGTCAAAATATAAAAATTAAATGTTAAAAAACAAATGTGGTATTCTAGTTATTAGATAAATACAACAAACGTCTGACTTTTAATAGGTTCTGCTCTCTTTAATGAATGTAAACAAACAGTTTGATAGTTGAAGTTACTCTTGAAAATGAGCTCGTGGACTGCTATATAGCAGGTGAGAAATGACAGTGACATTAGTATTTGTGTTTCTTTTGAGATTAAGGAGAAGCTTTCCTGTCAAAATTAGCCCAATCTTGTACTTAAAAAGACAATTAAAATTGGGAAGTTTTGCCCTTAAATGAATTCTCTTTATTTTGTGCCTGATATTTTATCTTAACTGTGAATATTTGTTAATCTAGGATGCCTTTGCTAACTAATTCTTCCCTAGCACATATCACAAGCAGAAGCTTTACATACATATACATCTTTGTATTTTTGCATCCCTTTTGTAAAGGCCAACAGTGGAGAACTGATGGCATCAGCAACATAACATATGAAAGACAAGCCCAGAGTATCACCTTTGAGATGCGTGCCTTTTATACAATAGCACTTCTCCAGGATGCTCATCTCAACATGCCATATCAGGCATGGGAATTGCAACCTACAGGCACGGATGAAGCACTACTTATAGTTACTACAGTCTTTGCAACGATTCAGATACAAATCAAGGTACTGTAAATAATTTTTTTTATAAAACATTGTCAGATGTTTTTAAAAAATACAGAATTATTACAATGTCCTTCATTAAGAACTTGGGGTGCTTCCACAAGAGCAATTTGAATTTCATTCTGCACTGGTGAAAATGAGGGAGGATCTCTTCCTTTCCAAGCCCTGTAAGGAACAGTACCGGTGATTTAATTTCAGTTATTTTCTGTGAACTGGTCAGAAGAAAGCATCTGTGTGGTTGTTCTGCAAAGTTCCAGTAAGTGCTTTGATATTGATACTACTACCTTGCTGAATTCAAGACTGTTTCACCAGCTAGAGACTTAAGAATTGTTCCTCTCTCCTCCCACCTATACCAAGAGAAACAAAAGCATTTCAAGCAATCTACTAACTACTAGTGCTGCTTGTTCTTTCAAAAGGTTTGTTATGCATGGTCATCCATATGCTCATTGCTGTATAAATCAGTTCAGTAACAGACATGATTTTCAAAGAGTCAGTATAAGCATGGGCCAGTAGACCAGGTGTCATTTCTGAAATCCTACAGAAAAGTGGCTTTCTTCAAGATATGTGAATGAAAGTTTACAGCCCAGAGTGGTAGATAATGTATGCAATATCCAGAATAGCAAAGATACTAAGACTTAACACCTGAAGCAGAAATTAGCTTTCATGACCAGTAAGTTGCTTTCACTGGTTTGTACAACAGGGTAATCAGTGTATGTTGTCTTCAGTAGTGGTGGAAGAGAAGGATGTCCTTTCCTATGTCACAGGAAAATGGCTAAGTCCAGTTGACCTAAGAGCAGTTTTGAAAAAAGCCGGTGTGAATATTTTCCCAGGAGCATATTCTCACAAGTATGTCTCTGTGAACAAGAAGGTAAGTGCAAGAGTAAATGGTTTTCCTGGGTTTTTTTTTCCACCTATTTTTCACTTAGGTAGCATCTTGTATGAAGACCTGTTGTGCAGACTCAAGGGGCAAGTATGCAAGTGTTCTGCCAGCTTAGCCAGGGGATTCTAGTTAAAGCAAGCTTTTTTTCTTACATTTGTATAACACGGGGCATTAGACTGAATGATATATATATTTTTCTAACTAACTTGTACTTTTGCATTACAGGCTCCCATAGCAGAAGTTAGGGCCTATCAACAGATGGCACTGGTTGCATCTGCTTTTGCTTTTGCCTGGAGCAAGTGGAATCTAGAAGCAGGTCAAGAGCAAGTAGTGTTCAAGGTCTGTGAATTTAGACTAAACTTGAGAAAACCAGCATACAGCTCTATCAGTTAGTTAAAGGGACAGAAGCAATCAACTTGTATAAGTTATGTTCATCTCAAACATTGTCTTCAACCCCTGCCTACGCGGCAGCTTTCAGTGTGTGTCAGTAAAACTTCAGAGCCTGCTTCTCCACTGCTTCACAGCTCATGCATTTGTGAGAGCTCTAATAGGAGACACATCTCAAAGACGCTTGCTAATGTGCTAGGATGTATAACTGATAGGTCAGCTCTTGAGGCTTTAGCCAAAGCTGGGATGATATAGCTGGATGCTGATTTTCATGAAGTGTCCTACTGTAGGGTTCCTCCGAATAGCAGTCTGATATGCCAGTTTTATATTTAATATCTGGAAATTTCTTCTTGTCCATAGTGGGTTTCATTTGTTCCATAGTGTAAAGGAGGGAATAAGCAACTTAAGTGTTGATTTGTTTCCATCTGTGAACTAAAACACATGTGGTTAAACTTCTCCCAGACAGACGGAAAAATACTCCCAGCTGTGGTTGTAGATACAGAACATACCATACTGTTGAAGTCTTGAGCAGCTCTCCCACTCTCTTGAGTTAAATGCATGCTACATACAAATATTTAGCCTAATACTTAATCCCAGGAGCAAGAACTAAAACAAATTATGCCTATTCCACCTAGCTACTCTTTCCACAGGAGTCAGGAGCAGCAGCTGGAGTGGCCAAACCTTGCATTTTACAGAGGCAAACTAGATGGAAGACTTTGGTGTTGATACAGTACCTGGTACATAGTCTCTTAGGCACAGAGAACTAATATTCTTTTAAGGGTTCAAAGCAGGGCCTTAGTTTTGTTTCTGTATTAGACTCATGAGCATACTAGAATTTAGAATTTCATACTAGAACTTACACTCTTTCAGTCATGGGCTTCATCTTACAGCACATTTTTTTCTGCAACAGGTAAGTGAGCATCTTAAAGCAGATTCTGTCAAAGACTGGTCTCTTTATATGTTTAATGGTCAGAAAGCACAAAAGCTCAAGATCACTGAAACCAGTGAAGCTTTTTCAGAGGAGCTAGAAGAAGATTCTGAATTTCACTCCACACTCTACCATATGCTTAAGGACTTTGCCAGCAAAGAAGCAATTGATAAAGTAGAAACAGCTAACTTCCTGTTTATTGATGTTGTATATCAGCTACTCCTTGCTACAAGAGTTTTAACATACTCTTAAATACTGCATGCTTTCCTTTAAAACTTTATTATCAAAAGATTTCAATAAAGTTACATTTCAAGTCTCGAATCCTTTTCTATTCAAATCACTGGAATAGCTTCAGTGACTAAAATGCAAACATTTTATTTCTGTTAAAGCAAAACAAGTTCTTTATCCTCTTGTGGCTAGACCACTTAGTCATATTTATTGTTAGCTATGTTCAAAATTACTGTTTTATTGTAAACCTGAACAGAACTGAGACACTTTTATGTACTTGTAAAGATGACTTTTGTCAGAACAGGAAGAAAAAAAAAGCTTCAAGTCATGCTTTAAAAAAAACAAAACCAAAACAAAAATAAACCATCTCCCAAAAAATACCCACAACCCAACAAAACAAACCCAAACATATAACCTTAAATATACTATCCCAGCTTCTCATACTGTCATCCAGAACTTGGAAGTATAACTACAAAAGTCAGAACCTTTGTTATACTGGGGGTGGTCCGTTGTGTTGAAGTCCTGTATATGGCCACAACAGTTGCTGTAGTGAAGTCCAGGAGTCCCCAGTCCCTACAGGTGCTGCGTCTGCTGGTCTTTGAAGAGACAGCCCAGTGATGAAGCTTGTAAGAGCAGCAAGCAGTACCAGGATGGAAACGGAAACCCAGAGAGTTTTGTTAGCATTGGAAAAGGAAGTCTTGAAATGGGATACCCACGATGATATTAAATTGCACCTGCACAGAACAGTAAGTCATAAGAGTAGTTCAGTTTTTCTTCAAAACTTGGAAGCTATCTTCCCACCCCAGTCCCTCACCCCAAAAAACCCTAAAGCAAACCAGACCCCACAAACAAACATACAGATCCTTCACTACCAAAAGTGACAAGGTTGTTACTGTATGAGAGCTGTGTACAGTGGTAGTTTATGTTCTGGGTTTAAAATGCAGACTTCAGTAAGCAAGTTCTTGCTAAGCTATTTAGGTGACTGACCCAACTTGTAAGTCCACCCATGCTCTCTGTACCACACACAGTTTCTGAAGAGGATTCACAAAGCTGCCTTGCAGATAGTCAAGAAATCTTGTTTGTAGAAAGCATTGAAAGTGTAGGGCTTTTGTTTTCTAGGGCTTTGGTGCCTTCCATAAGGTTAGGGAGAAGTCATACCCTCACAGGTTATCCAAATCCTAGACCTCTCATGACATTGGGTATCTCCATCCTTTATCAAACAATAGAAAAAAAATCATATTTGTTCTTGCTGTCTTCTCACTTTTACCCACTAGCATAATTGTCTTGTCTCCCCTTGATCAGGAACACTCACAGGGGAGGCTTAGCATTGTATATTCATATGCAATAAACAGTTTCTCTGCAGAGACAGCAGACCTCCTTTCCTGTAAGGGAGAGGCTTCCAGGGGATACTTGTTTAGGACAGCACTCTCTTGATTTAAGATATTCAGAGAAATTAGCTGCAATAATCTAGAGTTAGGCTTGATAACTACTTGCACCTCAGTGTGTACCAAAGCTGCTAGTAAGTTTTGCACAGGCCTCAAATCCTTGATCATTTTTACAAGAGTACATGCTAGCATGACCTAGTAGCCTAGCTATAGCAGCTGTCACAGAGCAACCAAACGAGGTGGGATCATAGCATGAGGCTTCTCTTTACCTCACCATTTAGGATGGGTAATGAATCCCCAGGGGCAAGTCTCTGGCACCCGAGATCACTCATTCCCAGTTGCTTTGTTTAAGAAATGGGCATTAACAACCAAACCAAAGCTACAGCTTTGCTTCCTCTTCCCATGTCCACGACCCAAACATTGCTTTACTTCACAATGATGTGAGAAAACTTACACTGACTCTAGGTTCCATTTTGACGAATGTTTTCCTTTTTCAGAGACGCTTTCCTTCCTGGATGGTGGTTCTTGTACTTCAGCAGGTGATTCTGATGGCTCATTTCTGTAAGCAAACATCAACAATTCCAAAGCTTTTCCATCAAGCATTCAATTTGACAGAGCTCACAGTAGCTTGACTTTATAGCCCTGATCAGGCAGTGGACAGTTGAGAGTTCATTAAAAATAAACCAACCAACCTGCACACACACCTTGAAGGAGGTTGCTGTTAAACTTACTTTGTTTCAGAATGTTCGTCTTCATACTCTGCCCAGGAATACGTGCTAATGAACCGCTGTAGTGAAGGACGCTTCTCATTTTGCTTTGCTCCTAGTCGCCCCCTGTCATATTTTAAAAAAATATTTGTCTTAATTTCCCCATCAGATATATAGCAGGAAATTAGAAATTCAACAGCAGCCTACTTGCTTGAGTAGGCCTTAGACAATTAAGTTTCAAAATTAGTTGCCTGAAATTAAAGGTGTGGTTTTTTTTTTTTAAACCAAATCCATCAATGCCAGCTGCCTAGTTTTCATATTCTAGTTCTAATGCAAAACAGTCAGGGTAATTAAAAAAAAAAAGCTGTAACATTTAGTCACGAAGGCTCATTTACCTATTGAAGCATGTAAAATTAACATGAAAGATGCAGCCTAAATGTTATTATGCCTCAAGATGCTCCATAAGCTGCTTAATACAGACACAGTTTGAGTTGAAAATTTAACCGTATTCAAAGACAAGGCCAAGTAACTTTACCAACTGCTTGATCTCCTGTTGAATTTATCAGTCCGTTCATCTCCATCAAGTTCATGGAGTTGGGCCTAGAGAAGAAGTGACACACTTACTGCATTGGCATTTTCATGCTTCAGCCCAGCCAGTTTTGAGAAGGTAAAGCACCTCACCATCTGGGAGCCCTTACTTACCAGCGGCAACCCAATACCTGCACTTCCAGCACTCCTAGGCAATGTTGCAATGCTAACTCTTCGTAGGGATGATGATGGCTATACAAATAAGAGGCATTACTGACTATCAAGGAATGACTGGATTACTCACTGATCACATAAAATACCATCTGTTTTTATACAAACTGTATAAAAAAAAAAAGATGTTGATACTTAGCTTGAAGTAACACACAGAAAAGAATCAAATCATATTCTTGAATAAAGCAGTATTTTTCCCACATTAACTGCTCCCCCCCCCAAGCACCTGAAGCGAGGCTGGCTACCCAGCTTCCAGCAAAATACCAAAACTGAATGTGTCTAAACCCCCCTAATGGTGCTCACAGGAATTCCTACAGTCAGTTGCTCCCACCTATTTTTTTTTTTATCTTTCCATGCTAAATCCTTTTTCTCTAACCCCAATGAGAGAACAACATGCGAACAATATTTCTTAACCACTGCATGACAGCACAGCCATTTCAGCTTCTGTGAAATGTCATTTTCTAAGTGGGACTACATGCAGTTCCCTTGGGTTGGGGGGGGGGCAGGAGTGATTGAACATATCCTCATATTTGATGACATCAGCCCATATTTGAGACAGAAAACCACTGAGTCAAGCATGTAGCAGAGCACCAGCAAATGACAAAGCAAAGAAAAACACAGAACACACAAAAACACACTTGAAGTTTCATGTTAGGCTGTAAGGGCCATTACCTTAAAGTTAAAAGAATTTGGTAGCTTTTTATTTGTAGATTCATCTGTGAAGAGATCAAACATCAGAAAGGCTTACAGGAATGCCGTGAGCTTTATTTGCAACTAAAGGTCTGACTTTTTGCAGTGTCTGTTTAAGCAAAGAGTGTATCAGAGTACTCTTGGAAAGCAGAAATGAGATTTCAGGAAAAAACTTCCTATTTCATTAGATAAGTTCATAATATTCACACATTATACATGCTCTACAAGCATCAATTTCTGTTGCTATCATTAAATGTATTCTTCTAATATTGAGGCAGTGTCCTATTACAGGACAATCCTTTACAGTCAGGAAGGAATGGCCTGTGATTCAGAAGGCTCCTGTGAGGATTTTCCTGGTGTGTAAGACTGACCTTTCTGCTTTTAAAAGTACATGCTCTATTTTTCAGAGGAATTTAATACTTCTCTGGCAAAGCCACAAGTGCACAGTGCCATCTGAAAACGTGACCACTGTATCATCTGCTTGAAGGGGGAAATTCAGAGCACCTGCACTTACAGAGTCTGTAATTTGTATTTAGAAAAGAGCAGGAAGCATCTGTAGAGATCAAAGCTCAGCTACCTAGAAATAGCTACTGGCAATGCTCCAGTGTGAGTGAGCACCCAAATTTACTGCTCACAGGGAATAAGATTATCACCACCACATGCAATGCACTTTTCTAAAAGCCAGAACATTACTGCATACTTTCAGTGTTGCTCCCCACCCTGAGATTCATGACAGTTTACATACAAGTCCAATTTCTGAGAGTTGTTTCTAATACTGTTTGTAAGTTGCTATTTTTCCTCTATTTTTAGGAAAGGAAATACAACAGTAATATAACCCCTCCACCTAACATGTTAAGCTTCAACTAGATAAGGGTCTATCTGGCAGGTGCTAGAAAGAGGAAAGGCGAAGCAGCTTTTCTTAGTTACCTCGATCTCCAAGAGTATTAAAAGATCTCTCATTCTGGAGCAGGACCTGTTTCAGCTCCTCAAGTTCTGCATGTTCTTTCGCGTACATGCGCTTCAGGTTTTCTACATGTTGAATCATTACTTCCACAGCCTTGCTGACACGGCTTTCCTAGCAGAGCAAGTGCAACAGCAGTAGGACAAGAAGTGGCTATTTGAGGAACTGCATCATGTTTAGAGTTTAAGATTTCCCACCGCCCTTAGCCATCTACTCTCATTTTGTAGCACTATGATGCAACATCCTCTCACTTTCGTCCACCCTTTCAAAGTTTCACTACAGCCCATCTCCCAACACATGCCCAAGTTACACAGGTGTCATTTCTCCAGTGATTACTCTTATCCCCAGATAAATTGGTCTTCATTTTCCAAGCCCTTACAACTCCTCCTCATCTTTCTCTGATCTACAGTCTCAGCTGCCACCACGCATTTGCTGGTATTGCCAAGTCATATTTTCATGCTGTTCTTTGGCATTATACACAATTACACATAACATTTGAGCAGGTCTTTGTAAATTTCCATAGATCTAGCTTATTAGCTGCCCTTTCCATAAGCCACAGAAATACCATTAGAGCATCAAGACTACTGTTACCACACTGCATTCTTGTGCTTTCTACTGTATAGATCCCTCTGCTGCAAATTCTTATTTTGATTTTTGTTTGTTTGCATTTTGTTTTAAATCAGGACCATATTTCTGTTGTGTGTTTTTGCACAATGCTAGCGCAACGTAGCTGCTCTCAGTGCCTGGCATTCCTTACAACAATACAAACAGTGATCTGAGAAGAGAAAGCCAGGACTAAGCTGTACTGGTCAGTCTGCATTACATACATGAGATTCTCAAATCTAATTCTGGAATCAGCAGCCTAGCAAACAGATACTGCTATCCCTTTTACATCTAGAAGCTTTTAACTTTGTACAAAATACATTTACATGGAAACAGTTACCTGATTAATAGCCCCCAACATCTCCGCTCTACTGGCAACTCGGGCTGCATACTGGCTAAGGAACTGCAAGCTTTTCTGCAACTTCTTAATAATCTCCTGCGCTTGGTTATCTTCTTCACACAAAGGAACTAAAGCCTAAGAGGCATATTGATAAGAAAAACAGTGTGAGCTTTTAGTAGAGAAAAGAGGGTGAACCCAACTGATGACAGTGAGGAATTATGTTCAGGCCCACACAGTCACAAGATAAGCAGCCAACATCCTTGGTCAGTGTAACTCGGATACAGACCTCCAGTGGGCAGAGACTTCAGTTTACCTAGCATAAAATCAGCTGAAGACAGGGGTTCTTGCCCAGCACGTGTGCAATAGAAAATTTCCCCACTGCCTGAGCACACAGTACACTCAGATGAAGGCTACCCCTCAAATGCAAAGTCTCTCATATTTCGAGCGCATCACTTAAGAACTTCGTTCAGATTTGCTTATAACATATTACACACACACAAATCCAAAAAAAAAAAAAAGCCATATTAAGACAGACACTTTCACAACCATTCATCCCATCCACCCTACCAGCCTTGGCCAATACTAACCTCTAACATCTTTAAAGCATTTGTAATCTCCTTTTTCAAATTTTCTTCAGCCAAGTCTCGGGACCTTTCTTCAAGCCTCACTCTCTTGTCCAAGGTAAACAAGTCACATTTAAAACCTAAAGACAACCGCAGAAATTCAGCCTGTTGTGGGAAAGGAAAAGATTTCAGAATAGTCCAAGTGATGCAGAAGCTTTTAAAGTATATTTGGATACTGACATGACATTTGGGACTATATGCCACGAACAAAGTTACAGGAGAGATACAGAAAAGAAAGCAAACATGGCCCACTTCCACAAAGCCCATCTTCCCATCTGTAGTGATGGGGAAAATAATTTGCAGGCAGAATAGGTGATATCCTGGCAGCACACAGAGTGCCATCTGTGTCTTTTGACAAAACTGTCTTAAATAAGCACATTCTGCCTGGGAGGAGGTCACAGCTAAGCTCCTTCAAGCTTGCAAACAAATGTTTCAGTAGCGAGAAATCTTTTGTTCAGTTTTACAGATTTCCACCTTTACCCATCCCTTCCAAATTTTCTATTGGGCTTGGAAAGACAGATTTAAGAAGCCAATTTATAGAAATACATCCACTTTAAGCTACTCAGCACCACTGTTTTATATAGGACGAGATATTAATCAGGGCTTATCGACAAGATCTTCCTGTTGTCTGAGAAACTTAAGAATACAAGCAGTTGAGACTTACCTCCACTTCTTTCTCGTTAGGAGAGTCACTGTAGAATGAGAAAAAGCAATCATGTAACAGACTGCAGCTTTAAATTCATACCTGCAGGTGATCACTGAAAGTCAAAACACTTACAGCTCATTTTGCTTTGTTTTATCTGCTTTAATGCCACCTGCAGCAGGTGAACTCCCTGAGAAGAGAGGAAAAAAAGTTCTCAGATAAAAGTAAAAACACAGCTCCCCCAAAACAGCCTGTGAAAGTCTTTTAAGCTCCAGCAGAAACCACTGTTAAAGATGTCCAGTGTTAAGCTCTTGCCACTAAAACCAATTTGTGTACCTCAGAGTACATTAGGGTTAGCGTCAGTAAGACAGCACAGCACTGTCATTTGTACAAAGCCCCAAGAGTTAGTTGTTTAGTTGGCTTCAGCTGGCATTTAATTAGTACAGGAATGATTAAATATAGGTTTTGGTTTAAGTCCCCAGCCTGTAGGTTCAGGATGTTACAGGCCTTACTACATCACTAGCTTTTAGAGAACTCCAAAGGCAAAAGGTGAGGTGATTAGAAGAGCAGTGACATCTAAGCACAGTTCAGTAGAAACATCACCCTGCTTATCTATATCATATTACCCCAAACTCTAGCTAGTACAAAGGATGCTGCTTTACAAATATGTGGGGAGGGCAGGCACGCCAGAACTGTTTCAAATATTCCAACTCCTTTGCAACGTCTAAGAAATTTTCCCTCCTGTCTAAAGGAAGATGGAGCTGGTTAAATCAGTATCTGTAGAAATCAGAGAAGCAGGTTTTGCACGATAATGTTTTCCTTCTCTCCACTGTTAATCCATTTTGATCTCTAACTGCAGCTACTATTCCTTAAAACAAAACTCCCTCATAATAATCGGCGTGGGGCAGGCAGCTCTCTGCACATCTTTACGCAGCCCTTGACACAGATGACCAAGGCATGTCCTCCAGTGAGTGACACAGACATGTTCAGCAAAAAACCTCTTACCTTTCCTACTGGGAACCACGGCTGGTGCTTCCTCACTCTGCTCTTTATTACTTTTCTTTTCCTGGTCCACCTCCTAAAGGCATATCAGAGAATAGTTACAGCAAGGGAGCAGCCACAACACCACTGGAGGGGCCTGGCCCCTCCGGCAGTATTTTTCTTTGTCACTGCTCAGGCAAACCAGTTCTATGTTTCCCTGTCACTAGGACTCTTACCAGATCTTGCTTTAAAACACTTCGAAACGCGGTTTTGTGTTCTTCCATTACAGGGCAGAATTCCTTCTTGGTCAGATCTGCTCCTGGGGAAAAACATTCCTAAAACCAAATGTAATGACAAAACCAAAACAAGACTGCAACACCCAGCATACTAGCCATGGACCAACAGGGCTAAAAGAAATTGCAGCAAATGCCGGGAGAGGGCATTAAGAAGGAGAGGCAGCCACAAAGAACACTATAAAGACATAAAAGAAGAAGTGTGATGATAATTATATTTGGCTTGGAAAAAATTCCAATAAGAAGTGTTACGTGTCTACAAGTGAGAATATTACTCCTGGTTGTAGTTGCTCTAGTAGAAGTTGTAAGAGTTACAGTAATATTCCCTTGGATAAATGAATTTCATTATTTTGCTAGCAGCACAGGAGGGTTTTTTGTTTGTTTGCTATTTAAAGAGACAGTTTATAATTAATTTTTATTTGGAATTCTATAAGCACAGGAATATGTAAAAAAAAACCCCACCCATCCACAGACTTAACAGAAGCGATAAGTATTTGTAATTCTCTTCTTTCATGTTACAGAATATCAGACGAAGTCAAGAAATAGATGCTCTTCTGTTACAGAGAGGCTTGAGCACAACCAGCTCATGAAATGCATACAGTTATGGTATTTCAGGTGTCCATAAGCTTCAGACATAGTCTGCCACTTGGACTGTCCTTTGTGCGTAAAAATGGAACTAGCAGGGTGCTGATAGAGCCAAAAAAATAATTTTTTTCCCAGAAGATGAGTGGTGATGAACAACTGATAAGTTCAGGAACTGATGATGCCAGTTCAAATGCAACACAAACTTTCAAGTGCTGCAATTTAGAAAAGCTTTAAAGCAAGCAAAAATAACCTCCAGGAAGATTTAAAAAGGAAAATATTTAAGAAACTGAAGAAAGTCTGAGAATCACCTAATTTCTTGTGTAGCAGTAACCCTGGTAGCTATTTATACCTTTTAGAACATCTAAAGTTTGGGGTTTTTTTCCTGTTCTGTTTATGTAGTCATATGCGCGCACACACACACACGCACGCACACAGATGCAAGCCAAAGAAATGGCACAGGAAGAAAACAAAAACAAAAAAACACCTTCAGGTTTGAAGTGCTTTCTCTTTTCATCCTTCACATGAACAACCACCTCTGCTTAGCACTCCCTTTTGTCCCTACTGATTTTTGCAGCAGCCCTACATATCTGACCTGGCTCCCAAGCACCTTTACAAGACATTGTGTGGTACTAGCGAAAACCACAAATGGAGATTCATCAGTGTATCTGTTCTAATACTAGAAACACTTTCTATTCAGAGATGTACAACAGGCAGCAGGATTCTCTGACTTTAAAGCTGTTTGGACTCTTTCTGATCTGTTTTGCATATCTGTTTCCTCCTTGCCAAAGGCACCTAGACCACATATGAAAATTAACAGTAGAGGCAAACTAGTAGAAAGAAAGAATGTTTAAGTGAGGGGACTGAATTAGATTTCAGGAAAATAGTACTAAAGAAAGAAACAAAACCAAACAAGAAATGACGACAGAAAGTCTTATGTTTAGGTAAATGTTAAAAAATGGTTACAAAGAAGCATGCACACATATTCTGTGCCAGTTATTCAAATCAGCTTTTTTTAAAAATAGCTTAAATACACTGTGTACATGTACTTCAGTTTTGGTTTGCTTTTAGTTTTTAAGTGGAAGAAACACCATCAGATCTAGTAAGACTAATTCTGGGTGTTTATGGCTATAGCAAGAGACGGAACCATACACAAAGGCCTCTATCCTCATCGCTCCTCTTGACCCATCCCAGCTTCTTGTGCACTAAGCATCAGTTTTGAAAGCGAGGAAAGTGTTCTTTTGCCTAGGTGTGTCACTAAACTTTTTAAAGGCATGAAAACATTCTCTCTCCTCCCAAAATTGCCTGGGGTTTAGTACCGACACAATGTTTTGCCAGCTGAGCAAGCATCAGTAATTCACGTTTACTTCTTGCAGTGCTGTACTCTACTGGCTTCCTGCAAATAGGTAAAGCCTTATGCCTACTCAGAGTTTCAGGGAGGGTTGAGAGAACTCGCAGGCAAAAGCATGTACAACAACAGAAAATCACAAGTTGTCCGCAAGTTATTTTTCTTAGTCAGCTTCCTTACTTCAAAGATGTGCTGGAAGCAAGCCCTCTCCTCACTGCGCAAGTGCCAGTGTGCTGCAGCAGTTACTGTACCTGGTACAGGACCAGCTGGATCCTTATCGTTGTTTTTCTCCATTGCTACAGAAGTTGGCACATCTTCCTCTCTTTCACGTAAGCACTTGGGTGATTTTCCCTCTGTAACAAGGCAGCCTACAAATATATCAGGCAACAGAAGACAGAGCTCTTACTGTTCAGTAAGCATGCAGACTCGAGCATATCTATTTCCAACACTTTCAGTGCAAAAAGTTCATACGTCTGTGCCCCAAATTAAGTGCTCACCCGTCACTGGTGCAGTGCTTTCCACAGAGGATGTCAGAACTTCTTGGGGTGATGTTAAGTGATCACTGCCAAAACATAATTCTTTCAGATACTCATCCATATTACACAATCTTGATAAAGGCTTTTATAAGCTTGCACAAAACCTGACCTGGATGGGATCAGACTGGCTGGTAGTGTTGGCTCTCCACCATCAATCTTAACAGAAAGAGAGAAGAGTTAGTATCAGGGAAACAGTTGCTGTGCAAGTAGAAAATTTGTATGTCAAGGTTTTAATAATTCCCCCAGCCGTACCTAAATTATTTCAGCAGTGAAGAACTAGATGGTAAGTGCATGCAGATTCATCTGCTAGTCTAAAGCCATCTATACATAAAGTATGTAGCTTAGCATGTTATCATCATTAGGAGCGATAACAAGATTTCTGCAGAAACATAATCTCAGGAATATCATACTTAGACATGTATTTTTGTTCCTCACTTCATGTTTTGCTTCCAACACACATTTTCAAATGACCAATGCATGTGTTACCACACCATTGTCCTATCTTAATGCTGTGCATCAAGATATATCAATTTTCAAGGTCTTGACCTCAAACCCTACGAATGAGTTACACAGATCTTCACTGGGCTATAGATGTCAGACTTGTTTAGGTAAATAAAAGTGTTACTATTAACAGCTCGACTGAGCAGATGATCCAGAATGCAGAAAACTTGCATGTTGCGTTGTACATTTTAGCGTCTGTCTTTGAATGACACTAGTTTTCAATATTATATATAACAATTACCTAGCCATTTCAGTAGGCTTCAGGCCTCCTCCAGGACAGTATGCAAACAGCAGAGAGGAATTAAGCAGTTAAAGGCTGGTACATAGTTTTGCTCATGTTCCTTTAGCCACTACAGTGCTGTTCTGGACCCGAGTCTTATCACGTCACAGACAAAACCAACATCCTCTTAAGTCTTTTAATATGGCAAGGGAGATACTGAATGGAATATATCCCTTTTCCTCATTTCAGCCTGGATAACTCCATCTTGCTTATTCAATTGATAGATTGGTCTCTCTTTATGGGTGAAAATACAGGGTGAAACAGAGGTTTAAAGGGTTAAGTCGGTAATGACTTTTGATGAACTCCACCCACGGCTGAAGAGGAGTGCTGAATAGGAAAAAAAACCCCAAACAACAAAAAACCACCAACCAAAAACCCCAAACCAAAAAAACCCACCCGTCTCCAAGCAGAGAAGGTATGAAATTAGCCAGCTTTGGGTAGCTCCCTACATATCAAGTGTCTAAGAGCACTACTGAAGTCGGGGAGGGGAGGGGGCTGCGACAACAACAGAAAAACCATATGAGCGAGCGATCACCTATGTTCTGGTATCTTCCCTACTCCCTCAAACCTCTTCAAAAGGACCCAGGAAACCCAGCAAAGTAGAAAAGGAGGTGACCAAGGCCCCCAGTCACTTCTGAGAGCAACTGACTGCTCCCAGCATCAGCAAGTGCCTTCCCTCTCCTCTCTGCTCACCCACCCATCAGAGCTCGACTGCACTCACAGAGCCTTGCCCCAGCCAGCTGGATGTTTCCTCTAATGCAAATCCAGGCTATTTTTATTCTTCTTTGAATTCTCTATCAAGCTTAAGGAAGTACAACATCGTGTTTGCCTTGTTCAGGCCATTAGGTCTACAGGAGTACTGGGGAAGGAGAAGGTGAAAATTAATAGCATGTTGGAATGAAAAACAAAAAGAAATCTAAAGGGCTTTTAAAAAAGAAACACACACACCCCTACCTCCCACCACCCAAACAAACAAAAACCCCCTTGCAACACCTGGAACTGACTAAAGTGATACATTATTCTACATGCCCTTCCCTCCCCAGGTAATCACATGGTCAGTGGATTCTGTTTCCAGTAAAGGAAAATCCTCAATTCAGTTTTTAAAACCCCATACTGACTATTAGGATTGTGAGCTCCCCTGGATTGCACAGGGTACTCTTAAAGAGAAACAACAACAAAACCCCTTGCATTCTAGATTTCCTAATAAAATCTTTTTGCACGGGGCATTAGAGAATGGTGGTTCTTCCCAGTAAAAGGATTGTGTCAGAGAAGATCCTGCAGTACAACCCTAACCACTTTTTCCTCCTCCATCCCTTCGAATAGCATAATAATACAAGGATTCTCTATCATAAGACAAATTCTGGCCACAGTCTTGTATAACTCCTCCCAAACGAGCAATAACATTTGGAATGCCTATCATCTAGTTTTTAGACTGTGATACAACTTTCACATTTATAAATGAAAACAAGTATAAAAAGCTCAAGCTTCATCTGCCTCTCACAAGAGCTCCTTTAATAAATATTCCCTAAACTCGTACAGTGACAATGCTTTGACAAAATAATTTGAGTTACTCACATGCTGAAGGGCTTGATCTGCTCAAACATATCTGCAACCACAGTGTAGTAATAATAATAACAAAAAAAACCAGGGAGACTTTTCCTATTAAACAAGGATATTCAAATTTTGCTGCACGTCACAGTTTTTAGAACAGTTACTGGACACAGTCCATTTGCCTTTTCTCTGGGGCAAGCTTTAACATTTTCATTTTCCCCCTCTAGAATACTCACATGGAAAGTTTTTTTAATATAAAAAAAAGAAGCAAAAATGGAAAATGACATTTCTGAGCCCAGCTGTAGTTACAGAAAGCTCCAGAGCAATGAAGCACAGGCATTTCAGATGACTTTGCAAGGCTGTGATAGGACTGGATAAAGCAAGAGCGCTTGAGATGATCCTCTTTAAAGTAGCTTAAGTAGTAAGAGCACAAACTGAGTTCCTCCCCTGCTTTACCCCACCCAAGCAGTGTGCCGAAACCACAGGCAGTCCCCACCACTCTTAGTTTTTACCCTCACTGCACTTTCTGCCTTGATTTGCCACTACAACCAGATCACTGCTGCACTTGCAGGTACCACACACCTGCTAGGAGAGGTCTGAGGTTGCCTGCTCACCAGTCTTGCAAAGGTTATTTCCAGGTTCACAGAAACCACTGACCAATATTCTTCCATCATCACCACCAACACCGGCATTTGTAAAACTAATTAGAAGCCCTGTGTGGCAGGGCTGAGGTCTAGATTTCAGAAGTATTGTGACACTGAGCACAGAGCATAACTAGGTGTGCTGAGCTGCAGCTCATCTTGCTGGCGCCATGAGAAGGCCAACTGACAGCTCAAGCTGTAGATGCAGGATTCAATACAGCAGTGAAGGCATATCTGAGCACATCAGCTGAAAGAAAGTTTTCATATAGCAAAGATGCCATTTTTTAGCTGTTACATGGCAGCTGTGGGAGAAAGTGCAGAGAAAGGCAGCATTTACAACTAAAACATCTTGTGGCTTCTTGCAGGTGGATAAAAAGAGCAAAATCACTCAGACTTCCCTGGCAGAACTGAGTATTACTACAGAAACAGCACTGTCTCAAGCCTTGAAGCCATGTTTAAAATACTCCCCAGCTAAAAGCATGACCCAGATGCATGTGAACATCAAGACATTTAGGTCTATAACTACAGTATTACACCTTGGAGCAGTGCCAATTTATAGCTTCTGGATCTGGGCCTGAGTAAGGCACTACATGCTTGAACCCATTCAGAACCACATCTCGGGCATCAGAGACAGCACTCACCTCAGTAAGTGAAGAGTCCGTCATTGTAATGGAAACAGGAAGGTCTGCATCAGTATAGTTAGCAGCAGAGCATATTTTCCACCTGGCAATACACATTTTATTTGCATATTGCCCAAACAACAGCGAGCTACATCGCCCGTTTTCCTTAAGCACGTAACAACTGAAGTCACCACTATCTGTATAGTCAGACAGCTGGTGTCTCAGAGAAAGACAAATTCATCACTAACCATCAATCCCTCCCCCGAACAGCAAGAACCACCACCAGTCCTCCTCCCAACCTCCTCCACATTGCACAATTCTACAGAAAACCAGTGGCAAAATCTTCAAGAGCTGCCGAGTCTTTTGCTGCAGACTGTCTGCCTCTGCATCTTCAGGAACATCCTTATCTTTTAAAATATTCACTGACAATAGCTAGCTTTCACAATCTTAAGCAGTTCAATCTCTATTTTAAAGATCGAAGGAGGCAGCTTGACAAGCAAAGACCTCAGAATTCCTGCTCTAAACTCTGAAAAAAAAAAAAAAGTAACTCCTCAAAGCCAATAGGCTTTTGGCTCCTAAATGGGAGTGTCAGTTGTGAGTTAAACACTGGAAATAAACACAAGAATACCTACCTCATGCCTCAGTTCTCCAGCCATGAAATGGAAATGCCATCACTGTATTTGGCTGGTGGTCATACCAACAGTCTCAGTAAAAGGTTTTACTATTACTTGTGTGAATAGAAGCAAAACGTTACCCCACAGCACCGTTAGCTGACTTCCGAGTGTCCAGTATATAAGAGACGTTCTGCTGTTGAAGTCAGCATGTGCTGGGGATAGAGCTTTCCCTTAGAACCTGCTAGATCCTGTGGCTCTTCCACCCTTCGCCCCAAAGAGGTAATTCTGCCATCTTACTTGCACCCCACTGATGTCACATCTGAAGTGGATGCGTGTTGCAGATTGCGGGTTTCAAATGTGCAGCTGCCAGAGCTCCGTCTACAAGGCTGATCCCAGCTGTGCACAGAAGAGTTATTTGGGCATGAGGTTTCCAAGGTCAGAGCATCTGTTAAGAGAGACAAGTGTGAAGGGTGGCAATCATGGGCAAAGTTGGATTTAGTTACATCAGTTTTTGACTAAGTCTAAAATGATCAAGAAGCAGACCAACCAAATACAGATTTATAATAAAGCAGCTCCTATCTTGGTATGAAAGGGTAGGTTATGCGGCCTTAGCATATTTTGTAGATGGAGAGTCTGCAGCACCTGAGGATGGGGATTATTCCATCAGTCAGGTTATGGAAACTTCCATGTGGGACAGCTTTGTTGTAGAGGGCTGGGAAATAGATCATCTTTTTTGTATCAATACTCAGTTGGTGCAAGCTGAGAATACCTGCCTTATTTGTGGCTGGATCGTGATATTACAGCAAGTTGCAAGAACTCTCTGAGTTTGTCCACTGAAACAGCCCTTTCAGAGCAGCAGTGCTCTTATAAGGAGCACGTACAGTCAAGCAAGATCTTCTTCCATTTCCCCCAGTATGGCATAGAATTACATTTGAGCATTTTTCAGTTTGTGTGAGAAGAGACTCTGTGTTGTACCAGCTTACTGCTGGAAGAAACACTTTGTCTGTAAAATCCCAAATGCAATCTGGAGTTCTGTGGCATTGCAACGCATATCTGTCAGTGGTTGTTTTTAATACTCATAAGGCTTGAGGGTTGCAGGGAACTACAAACACCTTATGAATGCAGGAGAAATCAACAAATAAAATTAATTGATTCTCAGTAGCTATGTTACCTGTTCAAGTTTTTAAACCAGAACTGACCTCAGCTCAGTAGCAAAGTAGCAGTACATCACTTGCTATCTCAGTGTGTGCCAGTCAGAGTGAATAGGAGGAACATAACTCAAGCCCTCTTGATCCAGACTGGCAAGCATCTTGTCAGGAATATACCTGGATATATGCTTTATATCAATAGTTCCTTAAGCTTTTGGGGACTCCTATTAGGTTGATACAGTCACCTTTTCAGGCCTTTCATTGCAAGCATTATAAACATGGTTCAGCCTCCTGGATTACACGCAGAAATAGCCTAAAGCCAACAATAGATTTTCCACACTCTACCAGGACGTTTACCACCATTGATACTGTTCTATCAACTCTTGCTGTATTTCAGGAGAGAGACAGAAAAATGGCCAACACCACCAGGTCTTACCTAGCAGAGGCGTACTATGCCAGCATGAAATATCCAAGGGCAGTGTCCCAGGAAGGCCAGTGCACAAGGTGGGTCCTTCACTCCACAGTCGTTTAGAGCAATGGAGCTGCTAATTGAAAAATAGAAAGTGCTGCTATTGTTCAATCACGGTGAATACATTAATACCATCAACTTCCCCCACACACGCACAGTTGCATCTGCATAATGTAATACTAACAGTTACACAAATGCATCATCTGTTGCTTTTTTGTCTAGAAAAGCTGACACCCTTAATGGGCAGAACAGATACAGGAAGAGGTAGAATAATTCAACTTTATATTTGCAACAGACATATTGGTTCAACCTAGGTCTGGAACTAGATACTACAAAACCAGGCAAGACGAGCAGGACAGGAGAACCAAAAATACCACCCAAATAATGAACCAAACCCCGTGAAAAAAAACAAAAAACCCCCAACCCTCCCAAAACCAAACCCCAAATAAACGACAAACCACTGCAAAAAAAAAAAAAAAAAAACCAACCAACCCAAAAACCAAAACCAAAACCAAAACCCAAACCAAACCCAACCCTTTCAGCGGAGCCGAGCCAACTGGACAGCCTGAGAAGGGGAACATTTGTCCAGTGTCCAGCACCTGCTACACAGGTCAGATTTCCCGCAGCAGGAGCAGGAGGGCAGCTCCAGCTCGGCCGCATGGAGACAAAGTGCTGCCCCCTCCACCCCTGCCCCTGAATGCACACCACTTGCTCTTTAGTGCTGAAGAGATGTCATCTGAAGATGGCTAGAGGAAACTTCTGAAGCAACACTTAACACAGCTGCATTTAACCTAATGTTGCTTAAGTGATGAAAAATGGAAAAGAAATTGGAAGATGTAGCCCCATCTTCAGCCTCTGATCCTTCTCAGAATGCAATTCATCAAATGCCAGTATTTTGTCACAGTGACTGTTCAGAAGCAATAGGAAACTGGTTTTGCAATAAAATTTTAAATATACTTTTGTATGTGTGTATTCATGTGCATGCATATACATAAATATGTACCTCAAATTATTTTTATTGAATGTTTAACTTCGCAAAGTTTCTCACAAGGAAAGTTATTCAATTCCTTTAGGTCATGAAAAAAAAATTAGGAACAAACAGAACTAGTGTCACATTTTAAAAAGGCTCAACAATGGTCATAGCAAGCACACTTACCTTCCTGTTTAGTGGCTCAGCTGATGTGGGCAGCAGACTGTAGTCAGATTCTAACTCTGCACAGCACTGTTGCATTAGAGAAATAGTTCAAGGCAGGCAGGTGTAGAAGAAAAAAAAAAGGTAAAAAAAAGAAGTAATACTACTACTGATTATGAACAAAATGGAATTTTATCTTTCTAATTGAACTATTATCAGCTATCAGGAAAACTATGCAGTTGTTTCCCCTTGCTACTTTCAGCCTTTAATTCTGCAGACCTTTATGCACAAACACAAGTTTTATTCACATGCAGCTGGTCCACAGTTTTGATTCTGCTCCTCTGATGCCCCTGTTACAGCCTAGGATACATTTTAGGATCTTCTGTTTGTCTTTATAAATACCTTGTTATTCTGTGTGAAATCCAGACCGTTCAGACTCTGAGCTATAGCGTTCCTTACTAGAGCTGTTTGAGGGAAAGAAAAGTCTTCCCACAATGTCTCCCCCTCCACCCCCTTCCAAACTTGAAGAAAGTATTTTTATTCAAAGCAAAGCACACCAGAGTTATATAATTTTCAACATATTTCCACAAGGTAATAACTGTTTCACTGCCTATTCCAGTATCTGGATACTGAAAAATATTTTATTAGAAAATTTTAAACATTTGTTTTCAAGACTGTCTGCAGAAGAGAGGGCTGATTGTGGGGGACAAATTACACCAATGCATCAGGGAAAGCTTCCCTCAGCCTCATTTGATGTGATCACCAACAATAGTTTACAGCAAAGACCAACACCACACCTGTTCGGTTCTAGCCCATTTTTTCCAGAAGGCTGAGGAAGGAAAATAATAACGTGCAGATCAGTACATACAGTTTACTGCCTCCACAGTTACATACATGTTAGAAAAGAAGAAATTAGATGCTGCCAAATCACTTGTAGTTCATCTCAGCTGTATACGTCCTTCCACCAGACCACCTCCTGTGCAAGTTTACCTTTTCTTCTCCCACCAAACAAGCATCATACCTGACAGAGCAATTCACAGAGTCGCCTTTGAAGCAGTTCCCATCTCAGTGCATTAGCAGTTGCTATGAAGAGACATTTACAAGTCTTACACGGTTCCTTATAATTTGATAACAAGCAGTTGGATGTTATAGTGTCTTGAAACCTGACTACTGCCTATTACTAACCCATTGTACTTTGCTTTAGTCTAGTTATACTTACAACAGTTTTTCACAGAAAAGAGAATTTTGAAAGTGCATTTTGTTTTGCGAGTTCCACCCTGCAGAAAACACTGGTCATTTCCTTCCCTGCAGTTATGTTTCCCCTTGCTATAAAGGGGAGGCAATGCTTGCCCACATCATCAGTGTTATGGTGCCACAATTCCCTCTGGAAATGGATGACTCCATTATGACTTGCTGGAAGAGAAGCATTCGTCCTTCCAATCTGACATCCTGTACAGAAGTTTTAAAGTCAATGGGCTGTATGTTATACTTAGAAACTTTCTTTGTTCAAGTTAGGTAATGCCAGGGCCTGCCTCTGCTGACTTCTACCTTGATATAAGTCTATCATAACTTTTATACCACAGCTAATAACGGGGGTGGGGTATGAGATTATTAGCACTGCCACTTCAGTGCCTAAGCAAAAATTGAAGGCAGCTCAGCAGCTTGTTCAGCTTTTTCACTGGATGAGGGCTGTAGCAATTAGTGGCAAGGCATGATTAGACATCTGAAACATAGAAGGACCTGTGCCAGGCTGACTTAGGTTGAGTAATAGCTTCCTTGGCCAACAGGTTCCCTACTTTCTCACTTCCTACCACACAGGTGGTAGGAAGTAAGGGAATGGAGTGGGTAGGTGGATGGGGAGACACCCCAGCCCAGCCCTTCAGTCAGAAGGGACACTAGACCTGTCTGGCTTTCTGCAGGAACCAATATAAAGCATTGTCCTCCCCCACTCCCATCCTTGTTTGTAAGCCCTGTTTTTCATAACACTTTGCAACTTCTCTACATATCTACCAGTTTATTTCTATTTATCTACAGAAAGAGATTTCTGCAAACTACCTGGAGTCATTTAAAGCCAAAGTCTTAGCCATTTTCAAGGTGGTGGTGGTTTTTTGGGGGGTCTTTAGTTTGGGTTGTTTTTTTTTTTTAAGTCTCTTTTTTGGGTCACAGTGGCACCAGTCTCTTCCACATGTCTGGGGATCTCTGTTTTCATTTACTCTAGCTCACTTTGCAGAAGAGCTTTGTCTACTCATTGCTGGAAAATGACACACTATTTCCTTTGTTATGCCTCTTGCAAAAAAAATAAAAAACCAACCCCCAAAAACTCAACCCACACTCCACAGTTTGAAGGAAGCAGTAAGCATGAAAGCAACGTGAGCACACACATGTGAACAATGCTAAAATACTGGTCAGAAGTCAAGCACAATCTGGAGCTGTTTCTGCCACATCAGTGCATAACGGTTGTGCCTTAGAGCTAAGGCATAGGGTCCCATGTAATTTTTCCTACAAGACAAATTGTAAACAACTTTATGTGAAACTATAATGCACATGCATGTTGAGCATCAGTCACATTGCCCTGGGAAATGCATGCCTGGGTCCAAATGTTAGTGGGCTTAAGTCAGTCAAATTTTTTTCCTATAAGCAATACACACTCCAGAATTTGGAAAGAAAAAGCCACATGTGGTGGAGTCAAACCACTGCATTCTTTAATTGCCCAAGCTTTTGAGGTGTTGGTGTTAGTAAGTGAGCAAGAGGTAGTATGAAGTTCCCATGGTTCCATAGCAGAAGTTGCACATGTACGATGCAATGACACAATTGCTTTCTACTAAAGAAAACAGCCTAATACCATGCAGTTACTCAAAAACACAAAGCAAATACAAGCAGCAAGCAGAATGCAGAACATAAAAATCAGGTCTATTTGGTACAGGAAGCTTAAGAGGGATGACTTTGTTAGGAATAAGGTGGGCTATTCAGGTGTGGGAACAGCACCTTTGGTAAAGGAGTGCCAGTGCCACCCGTGGAGTTACTAACCCTTCCTCCTAGGACTGGAGGTTTTGTTAGGAGGCTCTGCAGCTTTGGTCCAGCCCAACACCCACTCATTGGGATCCCACCTGATTCTCAGCCCAGATGCCATGGTTGCAGATCTCTTAAAAGAGAAGGGAAAATAGAAAGAAAGCCCCCTCACCCACGCCCACCCCCAAAAAAAGAGGAAAAAAAAAAAAAAAAAAAAGGCTCCACAGAGAATTTTACTGGATGACCTGCAGCTCAGTCTTATTCCCCCTTGCCATAACTAAACAATAAAGGATTTGCCCGTGCAAGAGTGAATGGTGGCACACTGCCGGCAGTTACTCACTTTTCTGGTCTTCCACCTTTTCTTGAAGCAACTGGCAAGTGCTTGCTAAAGCTGCATTCACATCCTTGAGTTTTTGCTGCTCAGAAATGGCTTCCTCTAACTTGCATTTCAAGGATGCGGCTTCCTCACAAGCAGAGTGAAAGGCTTCAACTTGATCCTCTGCCTAAGCACAAAACAATATTTAAGAAAAAAGACGGGAATAAAAAAAATAAAAAATAAAGCAGCCTGGCTAACACAAGGAGCCTCTACAGTTCATGTAAATGAAACCAAACTGCATCTGTTCTTTCTCAGGAAGTGATAAAGCTCCCTCTGAACTTCTGCATTTTTACGTTGGGGTGGACTGTGTATGGAAGCTATTTTTGGGTTTTTTTTTCTCTCTTTTTTTTTTTTTTAAGCCACCGCAAATATGCAATGCTGCCTCTTTCATCAGCAAACTGTTGTCACCACCCCCTCAAATTTTACTTCCTCTGCTGGTTCCACTTTTGCAACGAGGCGCTCCATTCCGAACATGCGATTTCCTTTCCCAAGAGCAGCGATGCATGGTACGTAACCTTTTGCATCTGCTTTCTTGTTCCCTGTGTAGAAGGAACTAGACTGTTCCTTACCTGTTTGCTGGCATACTCAAGCTGCTTTGTAGCTTTTTGCAGCTCTAAACCAAGGGCTTCTGCCTGGCCAGCAGTTTCTTCTTGTAACTGTTTGACAGTTTCTATCTCACGTTGCCTGCGGGGTGAGAGAGCACAAACCACAATCCATTCCTGATATTTTAGAGCAGGCATGCCTGGGAGATGACACACACTAGTTGTTGAGACACGCATCAAGAACCACGTTCAGCTGTTACATATTGCAGCTCCCCGGGATCCAGCACCAGGGACTTAGTTCTTGCTAAGCACAGTTGAACCCAGTAGGCAGACAAGGTTTTCTATAGCAGCTCCAGAATTTGGAAAGGGATGGAGGTTTTCCCTGGTTTCTCCCCAGCTGAACAGTGCAATGGCTGTGCCAGCCCCAGCCAGCTGGGTACCATAGCAGAAGCTCGTGGAACATCCAGAGAACTCTCAAAGAGCAAGAGCTTAGTGGGGCAAACTTTTGCGATTTAGTCAAAAGAATGCATTGTCTCATGGTTTGGAAAAAATAATTATTGGATATAGAGTCAATCATTCCAGCAAAGATACCCTAGAACTATTACTGCAGATACTCTGTAAAATACTGGGGAATTAATCTAATGAACCTGTGTATTTCACTTGACAGCAAGCAGATACCATCAGAACCAGTGCTAAAGGTGCTGGCTTTCAAGGAACCCCTTCTTTTCCACTGCAGAAACCCTTTGCCCATTTCTTCTGTAACTCACCCTTGTATTTTTTTTCGTGTTGCCACCAGCACAAGCAATTTTGTTACAGAGAGGCAGCTGTAAGAAACCAAGCCATCAGTAGTTTTTTCAGCTCTTTTCTGAGTGAAGGGAGAGCACGTGGGAGGTCTACATTAACAATGTTAAGTGGAAGATAAGTCAGGCAAAAGCCCAGTATGACTGCTCCACATTAGCTCTTTGGGATGCAATGCCTGAGGAAGCTGCTTACACCCCAAACCCAGGTAAAAGCATATGTGCAAAAATTTACATTTAACATAGGATAGCGGAAGGCTGACGTTATGAGTAAGCCTGGGTTCCGCAAAGACAACAAATTCAGATTAGTTTTTCTGGCAAAAACCCCTTAACTACCTATTTTCCTGAATGTCTGAGAGGAGGGAGGACGGGCAGGCAGAGGTTTACACCTGCTGTCTTTTGCTGTCATATTTGTAACATCAAAAGTCGTAGCAGAAACCATGTGCCAATAAACTAAAATTTAAAGTTACGTTTTCATATTTAATGAGATAACTCACTGAAGCTACACCCTTGAGAAACTGCGACGTTATATCATCTGGGGCTAGCAATTGTCTACCAAAGAAATAATACCTGCAGGCATATATTTTACAGGTCTTCTGCTTCACATAAACCCAGCAGTTTATTTAATGGTTGCACCTGCTAGATAAGCAGTGCCCTCTTGCTTTAACTGCTCAGTCTGTGGTCTCCCTGGTGTTTTCAGAGACATCTCCAAGATCATGTGTTACTTCACACACAAACCTTAACTCCCACATAGTGTAAGCGTTATGCTAAAACCAGATCCACTCTCCAAAACAGCAGATAATTTCCTCTGTGAAAAAAAAGTCTTCAGAATTCAGTAAACTTTGTTCCACGAGATAAAACCCCCCACCAAACAGCTAAGCAACCAACAAAAACAACAACAACAGCAAAAGATACATATGCTTTGAAGGGGTACCTGGCAGAGAGCTCTTTCCTTAGGTGAAGTTGCTCTGTCTTGGTTCTCCTCAGGTCGCCTGCCATTCGAATAAAATCCTTATCTAGGGATTCTTTGTATTTTTCCAAGAGATGAAGTTTCTGGATCCAAAGATGTCTTTTTTCTCCTAGTTCTTGCTTGAGAACCTGTGGAATTTTGAAACTGAGTTGCCATGTGGCTACATGAGGAGCAGAGCCATAGACTAAACCAGAGCCCGAATTTACCTGATGAGAATTAATTTCCCTGCTCCACCATTTAGTATCATCACCTACATCCAACACTATCAGCAATAAAGAAGGTGGATGATTGACAATATTTTGTAATCTACTTACAGAGCATCTGGTTGGGGAAGGGGAGAGAGAGAGAAATGAGGAAAAATACATTTTAATAAGGAAGGTATTATAAAGGAGAAACGGGTGTTTGTTTTGTACAAAACAGCGTTTTGTGCAGTCTAATAGGTTGACAAAGCTACTTAAACTTCAAACCTGTGCCTTCTAACTCCTGAATCTGACAGGATGTGGGGACAGACAGGCTAGACTCCTGCTGAGCATTAGTACTTTAAGACTTTTTTTTTTTTTTTTTTTTTTTTTTAAGATGAAGCAATGCATAACAGTTTGCACAAGAAAACGTAAGCCTTCTGTAGTCCAATTTGACAAATGGCTCCTGCTTTTTTCAAAAGGTTACTTCTAAGTCAAAAGCCACTCTCAGCCTTTCTGGGCAGATCTAGGGTACACAGATAGTCCTCTTCCTCTTTATTTCTTGTAAAACAAATATACGGTTGGCAAGGTATTTATGGTAAGTGTGGCAGGAGATTACATGGTGCACAAGGGAGTCTTTACAACTTACCCCCCAAAAACTCCAGCACAAGATGCCCAGATAGAGCAACAAAACCCATATTTCATAAGGGTAAGTTTTAATAATGACTATCTTGCAGGAAGCCCTAAAATTGGTAATTTAGACTTCTGTGACCCTTTTCTCAAAGTACAACTAAGTCCATTGGTCCCAATTTGAGTTTGTATTACAGCAAAATAAAAAGAAAAAACAAACAACACAACAAATCCCGATAAATCCATACTTAATTGTCATGCACGCCTAGCAGATGAAATCTGTCCAGGGGATGACCCCTGTGACAAAGGCTTTCAGTTTTACCTTGATTTGTAGGAAGAAAAAGGGGAAGAGGGTAAAAATGAAGCGTTAAGTAACATTGCATCCTCTATATTTCTCTGAACGGTGACTTGCAGTATAAAGTACTGAGAAAGAAGAATCCAGTCCTCTTTCTCCGACCTTGTTCAACTGAACATAAAAAACAGACTCCTCAGTCCACATTAGTTCAAAGGGGAAAACGACAACCCTACAAATACAGGCCATGTTACCTACTTGCAAGTTAGACTCTAATGTTGTTCACAGGCTTCAAACAAAACAAAACAAAAAAGTGTAGCACATCAAGTATCATGCTAAAAGAAAAAAAAAAAAGGGGGGGGGGGCTGAGCAGTTTTGCTAGATAAGCTTACTAGGATGACATGGGATGTGACCATATGCAAATGCCCACATCCTGAAGATCAGTTTCTCAGCCAAGGCAGGCAGCACTTGCTCTTAGAAATAACATGGTTTTGACACATAAGTGGTATAAGCTTATCAGGGCACATGTGCCTGTCTTATCTTCCAGCAGGAGAAGGGCAAAAGAGTTTTTGCTGTCACTATTTGTATATGCTTAAATGTATGTATATACACACAAAACCACAGGCACACTTAAAACTTACTTTATGTATAATGCAATTTAAAACATACTTAAAAATACTAAGACCCAGCAAAACATGTCCATAGTATATTTCACAGGAAACGGTGGGGAAGTGTTTAGGCTTCAAGTGATAGTTAAATCTTGGACCATGCACTAAGTTTTCTACAAAAGTTTTCTCTAAGGCTGGAAGAAGCTACTTTGAATGCTTCTTTTTTTTGATCTACTGTTGTTCAGTTCCATATACCGTATTTCCCACATATCTGGCTTGTTCTAGCTAGGTGAAGACAATACGTTTGACATGAAGTCACTTCCAATCCCCTCAGGACCCAGAAGGACGGGACCTTTTAGTTTTTAAAAATTTTATTCTTCCTTGATCCTCTGTTAACTTAGTTTCTAAATGCATCACTCTCTAGGAACCAGAATAGGATTCACCTGCCACGATCAACTCCAACACCCACACCAAAAGTTTTTAGCTTTACATGTTTAACAGGAATAGGATCCCAATGCAAATGGTAAGTTAACAAGTATTTTTCAGCTGTGACATCTTTGAATGAGGAAGTTTTTAGTCAAGATCAAAAAGTTACAGCAATGCATGAGGCAGCAGATTCCTAGAGTCTACCCAAAGTCACACCAGGGTGAGGAGACCGAGACACTTGCACCTTCTCCAAGTGGAAGCTTTCAGGATTTACATTAAAAGAGAAAAAACTAAAAAAACTGGCTGCAGGACTAGATGGCTCCAATGATTGCTCTTGCCTGCCCAGGAAAGATGAAGAGGGCCAGCTACAACATTTGGCAGCACTAGAAGAAAAGAAGGATAGACTTCTGCTTAAAAGCTAACAGTTTAAAGCAGCACATACGGTAGTGCCACCTGCTATTACCCAAGCAGGATGAATTGAGGGTTTTGCTTCTATTAAAGAGCTGAAAGACAGCATTAATATAGAATTCAGTGGAGTTTTATGTAGCAGTGCCCTTAACGACAGGTTAGGAAGAAGGAGCAGGTTAGAGAAAAAGCTACATCCAGCAAGATGAAAATTTCAGAAACTGTGCTGTTACATGGGAGGGGAGAAGGGAACAAGAGCAAGGGAGTTGAGCTGTGTCCACAGACCACTGCTACCATACAGGAAACTTATTTTTGTCAGTTACCTTGAGCAAAACTGTTTACTTTCAAGCCTCGCAAGAGGTATGAAGAATAGTAAAAATACATTATGCAAGATTAAGTTATCAAATATGTTTTTTTGTAGAAACTTTTCCTGTGGATTGTGTCCAGCAAAAGCAGAACACTTTGCCTTTCAAAAGAAGGCAAACCCTATGAAGGTTTTGATTTGGAAATCCAGTTATAAAGCCACCTCCCTCCTCCTCTTGATGGTGAAACCATCCACTACATAGTCAGATTCAGAGCACAGGGGAAAATGGGTGCTCGAGGCACACAGAAAGATGCAGTGGGCAGAAAAATCTTCATAGCTCACATGCTATATTGCATTGTCATCTGACCTCATTTCCCTCTTCAAATTGATTTGTTTCACCTACCCTTGCCTTCAAGCATAGTTTTAACAAAGTGAGATCT